TTTCCGCCAAGACGACTCTGCGTTCTTCTAATTGTATCATTTTGGCGTTCCTCTCTTCTAAAAAGTAATTTTTGCGTTTGGGAGCCCGACGTTGTGGTGGAAGTGGATCCTGAGGAACCATATCCGGTGCCATTTGCGGTTCCTCATCGCCTCCTTCAAGAAACTGTAATAAAAAGTTAAATAAAAAACAGAGACAATCATAAGGCGTATGTACATACCTCTATCTCAAAGTGGTCCACAGGGGCGNATGGAAATGTTCTTAACTCACCAGTGGCTCGCTAACTTCTCTTTGACCGACCACTGCCACTGTGGTCATCACGCCAATGATGCGCTCGTCGAGGTTACTGAGATGCTTTTCGGTAATTGATGAATTTACCCCGCTTCGCTCCATAGCATTACTCAAATCTTGGGTTTTTTGTTTAGCCTTAATAATAATAATAGATTGGCGCTTACACATATGTTAGTGTTTGGCCNAGCATGTGTGTGCAAATACGCACCCTGCTTCTATGTTGTTGCAGAAGTTTTGCCAAGATTCATTACAATTTACACAGCGAATTTTCAATACTAATTGTCCACTTTGCGTACTTTTCTACTACCATTTTCGATCCAAGGGATTTCTTTCTTCCCCTTTATCTATCCTTTGTAAATGCAACCTTTTTTAAGGGAGTGTCCAACCTCGGCTGTCAATAATTTTCTAAACTTAAATTACTGAATTATGTATACTTACAACTACATGCGTTGTTCGGTACTCTTGATAATAGCTTTGTTTCTTTACTTCTCNTGTTTAGCCTTGCTCCTATCATTAATCGAAAACAATTTTAAGAATCTTAGTGCTACTTATGTACATTTTCAAAACATATATACTTCATATTTACCCACGCTCTCTTCCATCCTTCACCATCTTTTATGGATCCTCCGCAAGCATTTAATTTTTCGGCGAGGTGGTTCCACTGCTCAGCTAAACTTTTGCTCCCGGTGCCATTGACGAATCTTAAAAAAGAAAAAACTTAAACAAAATCATTTACGGGAAAATGTTTTGCATACCTGTCGTGAGCAAATTCTCTATGATCCTCCAAATATTGAACGAGCATATATTTTTGATCCTTGTCACTCTTTTGCTATTGCGGTTTTCCATATTTTGCTATTAATTAAACAATTTCTTTAATATAAAAGAGTATTTTTAACAAAAAACAATATAAGCATTACCTTTTTTGTCGCGTTATTTTTTTAGCACCAACTTTTTCTAGTCGCCAAATTCGCAGAATTTTAAGCCAACAATGGAGATTTGTAGCAATGGAAAAGACGCTGGAATCGCCATTTTAGCTGATGAGCTGTCAAAAACTGTTCACTCACTTTATCCGGGTTCATTTTGTTCATCGCTAAAACCCACCAAAAAAATGAACCAATAATGAAACTTTTTAGAGATGATTTTTTAAGCGCGAATCGCAAAAATCTCCCAAAATTGCTAAAATCCATTTAGTATTTTTTGGCGATGGAGTTTTAGCGATAGCGAAAGCTGGAATCCGGCTGCTGAGCATGTGTGTGCAAATACGCACCCTGCTTCTATGTTGTTGCAGAAGTTTTGCCAAGATTCATTACAATTTACACAGCGAATTTTCAATACTAATTGTCCACTTTGCGTACTTTTCTACTACCATTTTCGATCCAAGGGATTTCTTTCTTCCCCTTTATCTATCCTTTGTAAATGCAACCTTTTTTAAGGGAGTGTCCAACCTCGGCTGTCAATAATTTTCTAAACTTAAATTACTGAATTATGTATACTTACAACTACATGCGTTGTTCGGTACTCTTGATAATAGCTTTGTTTCTTTACTTCTCTAGCATGATTCATTAATAAAAGGTTTCATAATTATTGACAGCCGCGGTTTGACACTCCCTTGTGTTTACGAAGGACGGAGAAACGATAAAGAATGAAATTGGTGCGAAAATGGTAGTAGATAAATTCACGGAGTAGTCAATTAGTAGTGAAATTCCTTTTGTAAACTTTAATGTATTTCCAAGAAATTTGGCATTTTAAATGAAATATTAAACGAAATATTATGAAATGAACGTCAGTTATTTAATTTATGTGCTACCCAGCTACATAATAACTGCAAAAAGGGCTCAAAATTAAAATGAAACTACTGTGAAGTTTATTAAACATCGAATTTAAAAGAAATTTATGTTTTCATTTAAATGCACTTTATATGCATACACAAATAACATATTGTACAACAAGTAAAAAAAAATTAAGTTCAGGCGAACCTTAACATTGAATACCCGGCGCAAGTACCTCTTAATATAGTTTTTTCACCTTTCCGAAAGCTACCGTTACATGGTAAGAAGGGATGGTCCAGCATTTCTGAAATTTGCCGTTATATGAAAAGCGTAATTTTAGTCCGATTTCTAAAGTTTTAAATTTCTGGCTTTTGTGTGCGAAGTAAAATAATTATACCAAGTTTGGTACAAATTGATAGAACGGTAACCGAGATACAGAGAATGGGCAGTGCCTCGCCCATTTGCCAAAAATTTGTTTTCATTTTTCATTATTCTTTATTTGTTATATATTAAGAATTAATCTTTTATTGCGCAATACAAATAACGGATTACAAAAATATGTATTAAAATAAAATAAAAATTACAATTATATAAATATAGTTACGTATGCACATTAGCGCACACAAGGGGTGGGTTTTGGGGTTCAAACCACCCCTAAAGCTAATAACCTCAAATACAAACTGTATCTTAAAGCTAAGAATCCAGCTCTCAAGGAAATCATAAGAAAAATTTATTATAATTTCTGTTGCTTGATAAAAGCGCTTCGCTTTTGCTGTAAATTTTCATGAGAAAATAATATACGACCATTTTTTTCTTGAGAGCTGCAAACTGGTTTAAGAAATTTTGGTAGAAGAAAATTTCTTTTCCATTTCTTGTCCGTCGTTTTATATGAATTTTTCGTTTTTCTTAAGTGTTCAGATAATTTTTTCGGTATTCGAAATATTAAAAAATGTGAAATCGGGAAAAATTCACCACCTCTATCGAAAACCAGAAACCAGAAATCGAAAAATTAACATAAAAGTGTAAAAATTTCTTGGAATCAATAAATTTATTTTTACTGACTCTTTTTAAAAATTTTTTATTAGGTACTTTTGAAAGTTGAGCTCATCTTGAGTTTATAGAACTTTTTATTAAACAAGTAGTTTTTAAGGAAAGAACACAACCGACTTCAATTCTCATATACAAATTTACGTGCACCGTTAATTTCTTCATGATCCAATCATCGGATCTAACCCAAATTACGGGACGGCCCTTGAGGTGTCATCATAAAAACAGAATTATTGAAATCGGTTCACGTGGTCCCAGGTTATGTATTTCGACGAATTGATAACCTCCCCTTTTTTTGAAGTCGGTTAAAAATGTTTGAGTTCTGTTAATCTTATGTAAATAAAGTGCAGTTTATGAATTTTAAACCGTTTATTTATTTATTACATACTGTACATAAAACTTGCATAAATGTATTTCAAAGAGCGTGTTATCTGAAGAGAATTTTCAGTATATTCCGGTGATATATCTTCAGAAATATAAAACCCCAACTAAAATATATTCCTGGGTGCGCCCCTGCGTATGCATATGTAAATAGTAACTTAGAAAAGCCAAATAGAAAAATTCATGACCACCTTATTATGCGACTTAACTGGATAAATATTCAAAGATAAATTTTTTGAAATTACTTTCACGCAGTGAGTTCTTTAGAGACAGTGGAAGTTCCAAAGTCTAACACCATTAACAAAAAAGCCTTACCGCTCGTTAGCATATGTTGTGCTAATGCTATCTTATTTTTCCTTCTTCTTATGTCCGCATCGTGTTCTGATAATCGTGTGTTTAGTGATCGTTTTGTTGTCCCTATGTAGATTTTGTTGCTCTGTTCGTTTTCGGCTTTTTGTTCTTGTTCGGGCTTTTTGTTCTTGTAAATATCGTTGACAAAGTGCAATTTGACTTGTATGCTAGAGTTATGTTTGGCTTGCTTTTCTTTATCGTTTGGGGAAATTTCCCAGTAAATTATGGGACACATGTGACACTATAGAATTGTTATGTCTCAATCAAAATGTATTCAACAAAGTGTGATTGATTTTGACATTGCTCTCATAAGAAACAGGCTATAATGTCAAATTGAAATGAATTGTTAATCCATTTTAAAATATTTTTTTTTTCAAATTTGAATTTGTTTAAACAAAAATGTACACAAAAATTTTTCAAGCAACAAATTTTCTTAATAAACGTGAAATTGTTAGGAGATTCACCGCCGAGGATAGCAAGTAAGTACATTTAAAGTTTGGTAATAAGTTAATACGTTCGACTTTGCTTAAATATTTAATGTAAGGAAATCAAGGTGAAACGGAGCAAAACTTTTGAACGGTGCGCTGTATGCAATAGAAGTCAGGACACGAAAATAGTGCGATGTTTTAAACCACCTAGTTGCGAGTTATTGCGAGAGATTGCTTGATTTATTAGAAGGTCGACCAATTTATACACGGTAGTAGTGCACTTTAGCGGAACCATATACAGTATATTTTGCTTAGCTGCACATCCTTCTTTGCACGAAAAACTTGTGCACGTAACCGAAAAAGGCACTTAAGCGAATTTTCTTTACTACTTCAATGAGGAAGGTATCCGAATCCCTATGAAACCAAATATTGGCGGAGCACTTAACATGTAGAAATTACAGCAAGCGAAATTTTTACCGATTGCTATCTAATTATCTATATAACTACATAAATTGATAGCCATTTTCGTTGTTCTGCGAGATGAGCAAAATAGGGCCAGTGCAGGTAAACGTAATACTTTCATTGATAATTGATACTAGTCGCTCAATTTTTAAGGCAGGTATCGCCAATGTGCAGGTATGTTGAATGCATCTACCGGAGCAGTTTCCTTATAAATTTAAAACATAATGCCTCTGATGCGCATTTTAGGGTAGGTATCTTAAATGTGCACTTAAGCATAGAGGCAGCAAAGCAAAATATACTGTAATATAAATTTGTTCCTGTATTCAACAGTTGCTCGTTTGGAAATATAATTTGCATACATTTGATGCCAATAGCTCTCGCAACAAACGAGTCAGTTCTCAAAGAGTCCAAATTGATTTTAGTCATGCAACAGCTCCACATAACTCCGCCATAGACACACCAGTTGCTGCAGTGCCAAAAAGCTGTGATGACAGTATTTTCATTGATCCACGACAATCGGTGGCATATGGAATGCGTGATGGAAATTTTCTGGTGCTTGATAGCCAATATACTACAAGAGCTTCCCGACATAAACTACTATTCCATACGAACACAGAAATATAATTGTATCTAAGACTGAATAACTCAAATCAAATTGGATTGCATTTCCATAATATACCTAATATTGGAATCTGTTTTGATCGTAAAAAATACAACTTGCAATCATTTAGATTATAGTTTTGAAAGAAATTGATTGCAATCGTAAATTGTGTAAAAATTGTTAATAGCAATCTGCCTTAAATTTATGTTCCCCATGTAACGGGTATAAAATACGTTAAATCCGCACTATCTGCATTAACAAAAAATATACATTGGAATATTTAAAATAAAACGATTCATATTTATTTTCTAATAAGAATTGTTTCTTAATTGAAAGTATTTAATACTAACATAATGTAGTGGTTAATGATTAAAAATGAATTCGCAATATGTCCGCAGCTCAGGTTGATTTGAAGAAATCCGTTTAAATTTTTCGAATTACATCTACTTGAATATAGGATAGGCAGGGTTGCATACAAATGGTAGATCCGTAAATATTTAAAATATGTTAGTTCATTCAATATTTACATCTGGGCCAATAAATAATAACAAATATAGCCGAAAAAACTAAGTTTCGATTAAAACGAGTTTTTATAACCCCCATAAAATTTCGGTTAATTTTAAATACGAAAATAACGATATTTTTTCATTCAGAGGTATTTTTTTAATATACCTTGTTTATATCTACACAAGAACCGTATTAGCAAAAAACCGATTGGACTCAACATATATTTCTTTACAGCATTTATACCCCTGTCGCACTCGATAAAGTCTTATTCAAAAGTACACAAAATCTGCTATTTTTAAACATTTTTTTAATAAATAATTTGCGCGGTTGACCGAAANACTTTCCAATGGTGCTGATTGCTGCAAGAATTATTTAGCGATTTAGAGCATAATCAACACAATATATGCACATAAATATGTATTATTTCACAGATCTCACGGTCAGCTTAGAAATACGTCACCAAAATTATATAAAATTTAAGTAGGAATTATTTTTATTTATAACGTAAAAGCGCTATCTGACCCAATCTGATAAGTATATTTCCCCTAAAGTTAACCCATTTT